TGAGTATGTGCTTTCTTTCAATTCCCTTTGTACTCTTTATCAAGTTACTTCACACGTCAGCCACCAACGGCACCTTGTAGACTTGTTAAACCAAAACTCTTTATTTGTTAAAATTGTTTCATGGTTACTATGACTGTGAAAGCAGTGAAGTGAAAGTAGTATGATTTAAAAACTAGTTCTTAAACAGTTTAAACATCTCATCTCATCTCTTTGTTTTTGTTTGTTTTTTTTTTTTACTTTTGAAACTTAAATATAAGTTCTGACATGAAGATTGTGATCTCTTACCTCTGTATAGTATAGGGTTTATTACTCATTGCTACTGAAAGTTACTGTTACTTAGCAACCGCGCCATAAGCAGCTACAGCTGTGGTGGACAGCTCATGTTTGACATGTTCGATGGAAATAGAGCTTTATTTTATATCATTTGTTTGACTTTAAACAGAGAAAATTGTATTGTTTGATGCATCTGGGAGAACACCACAACCATGCACCGAGTCCCTTTAGCCAACAATTATGCTAAGTTTAGCTAGTAAACTAGTTTGCTAGTGTAGCTCTTGAAACGAGTCTCATTTCATTGTGATGTTACAAATGTAATAAGATTTACATTATTGAGATTTTACTATACAAAAAATTTTGAAACAAAAAATGTAGTTGTCTCAAATATTGTATTTCAGTTAAAATTCAAGGTATACATTTCTGTTTTGTATCATTTATACTTGTGTGACTGTCTAACAGAGAAATATTCATACACACTGTCTGAAAGCTTTAGTTATATTTAAGGACAATATCCCATATCCCTAAAATAAACTAAAAAGATTTGATCCTTGTATGTTTCACATAAAACTGAAGACAAACTGATGAAGTAAATATTCTTTTATTGGATGAGAAAACTGCAGTACAATTTACGTAAGATGTTGAAGATATCGGAGCACCAAACAGACTGATGTTTGGGTAAGAGGCTCAAACGGGACAGATGTGATACAGAAACATGACATCCTTATAAAATACTGACAAACTTTATTAATTTACAACCTTTCACAGGTCTTTGAACTTTTTATTTAAATAAACTTCATACTTTTCCCACTGAAACCAGCACAATCCCACTTTGATGAAAACAACAGTTTAACTAAATATATTCTGGATAAATCAAAGAATTATCAAACTTGTCCGTGGTTCACTTTATTTTTCTTTCTTTCTCTGTCAAATCCTGTCGTGCAGCATAAATATCAGTGAGTGGTTCCCTGTATGCAGCTGTTATAGTTTGGGTTGGAGATACTTCTGCAAATACAGGAAGCAAATTTTTAGAAACTGTTTTAAATGTTTTCACCAGTTCCTCAACTACAGAGAACAGCTGTCTATTCTCCCCTTGTTCTCCTCTGCATCTCTTAGCAGCTGCTGGCTCCCCTTTCTCCCCCTCTTCCTCACACACTGTTGAATCAGTCCTGGTGTATCCCCAGGGTCCCATCACCTCTCACCTTCTCAGTCTCTCCTGAGTATGGACATTTGCAAAAGGAAATCAACCATGGCAGTTAAGAACAAAAGCAGAAGAAGCTTATCAAATATCGATTAACTTGCAGAATGAAAACACAGTTTTCTAATAGAATCACAAGGACACACTTTATGTATTCTAATCAGAGAAAAAAAAACTAAGGGGAAACGGGGCATACGATCCTGCAGAAATGTTGGAGGACTTCTCCATTTACTGTCTGTCTCAATATTAGCGGTTTATACAGGACGAGAGCTCTTTTAACTACAAACTTCAGCACAGCATGGTTGAGTCCGTGTTCTCACCACAGTTCACGGGCCAGACGTTTGGTGAACATCTGCTCGGTTTATGCTAAAACATTTAAGTACGCTTGGCTTCACACTGACAAAGAGACCCAGCTTTGGCAGAAAACTGAACTAACTAACTAAGACTAACTAACTAAGAGCTCATATGACTCAAAATTGCACTTCTTTATCTCATATTCATTGGGGTTAAATGTGTATTTAAACATCTTTACACCAAAAGAAAGGGCACTTTCACTGGTTTAGCCTACTAGATCAAAGTAAACTGTGCATGGCCCTAAATTGAGTTTGACATCGCTGAAGTAGGTTATACCATGGCTGGGAACTACAGCTGCACCTGATACTACATAAATAAAACTAGCAAAGTATTGTGAGAGTTAGTGTCTCACTAAACATGGAAGACGTTGTTAACAACTACTGCTGTGCTGCTGAATGTTTGCTAAGTATTCAAAACAAACTTAATACAACTCGTCCCCAAAAATGCAATTTTACTCAGTACTGCTGTTCCCAGACACGGAAAGCGTGAATGAACAGACGTGTCCAACTGATTGAAAAGTGACAGGATATGATGTATGTATGTTGATGAAGTTAGAAAGGGTTTAGAACTTGTGATTGATCATTTTTAGTGATTAAATTAACTGAAGGCGTTTTTAGGAAAACCTGATTATAATAAATTACAATAAAAGTAATTTAAACATTAAGTAATAAATGCACAAACAAGCTTTTCAATATAACTCTGAGGCAGGATCTTTCTATTTTTACTATACAAATGTAAGAATAACAGTTTGGGGATGTACAAAGGAAGAAAATGAAACATTATTTAGTGTCAGATCCATGATGCATACACATATTAATGAAGGAACTGTTAATGTCAGTAAACCATATTGTGACATTCGGGCATTAATCTGACAGACTTTTTAGATCTTTCTGAGTTTTATCAATTACATTCATTTTGATGACATTTCAGTATGTTGGTAACAGATCTGTGTCATGGTTCTCGGTCATTTAACCCAGTGTTTTGAGCTTCTTGTGTTTTGGTGTCTATTATGTATCATGGTGTAGTTTAGGTTCATTTAGTAGTCTTGAGTTTATTCTATGTTTCAAGTTCTTGTATTCGCTGTTTTGTTCCTTGGCCATTAGGTTCCCCTTGTGTCTCTGTCATGTGTCGCTCTCTGTGTTTTCATGTTTTTGTGCAGGTGTGTCTTGTTTCCCTTTTCTGTGTCCTCGGCCCCTCTCTTAAGTTAAAAAAAAATGTTTTGAGGTCTTTTCAGTGTTTTCAAAACTGTGTTGCAGTGAGTTTTTCAGATACACATCAAACACACACACAGAACAACAAAATATGTAAAATTACATACACTTCTCGCTCATTTTTTGAGAATTTCACCACTTTTAGTTTTTATGGAAACTAGCTTGTGTTATTCATGACATGACATCATTTAAAATAACTTTCTAAAGCCAGTAAATAGCTGCCACTTAAGTATAAATCTAAATCATACAAATCATTTTGTATCATACAAAAAAAAAAAAAAAAGCAAAATCAGTTGCGCTGCTTTTTCATAATAAATGGGTAGGGGTGCAGTAAAAGTCACCAAGGCTCTGCACAGCTCCAAACTTCCTCTGCCAATGACATAAGTTTAAAAAAATGTGCGTTGGGGCTTCACGGTATGGATTTCTATAGCCAAGCAACTCAATATGTATGTGGCCAAGAACTTTAGTGCATGTAGGGAATCTTAGCACAGTTTACTTGTGTCAGTTAGTTCAGCTAGTGGGATGGCAGAGAGGGCAGCCCTTACATTATAGAAATAGTCACGTTATTTTTTTGCCTATCAGTTTCTAATCAAGCATAAATATTGACAGAAAATATATTGAGGGTCATGCATTCATGATTCACATATTGTGAAAACTGAGCGGACGGTTACGCAGTTTCCGTAGTGTAGTGGTTATCACGTTCGCCTAACACGCGAAAGGTCCCCGGTTCGAAACCGGGCGGAAACATGATTTTTTTTTTTTTTTTTACTTCAAGATGGCAGCGCGAGCAGACGCAGCGGCCCGGCGCTCTCCGCAACTTAGCAGCTTTCTTTTTCTGTGTTATTGTGTAAATACTTACGCTGTTGTGTACTTCACACACATGGAGAAATGCCGAAGTGCCTTTCATTGTTTTTTTAACAATGACAATAAAGAGCTATTCTGTTCAATGTGATGTTACATTTTCCTGAGAACTGACTGACTGTGATGACTCCTCCATGTGCTACATGCTATGTTGTCCTGGTAGTTGAGCCAGCTGTCTGTTCTCAGCCCTCCTCCTGTTTCACTGGCATATATCCATCACCAGAGGGCTCCACCGACCTGCCTGTTGACATCAGAGCAAACCCCTGTGTCATGTGACCTGGCTGGAGCTGCAAAGCTGGACTCAGACGTGGCCCAGGCAAGTTCAGAGGCAGTTGTGGAAAAGAGAGCAGGGAGCATGGTAAAGCACTGGAAGGATGAGGTGGAAACAGGAAGCGTGTAGATTCAGTGGACTTATCAGCATCCTCCATGCCCTCATCCTGACTCAGCTGCTCCTCTCCCCCACTGCTAACACCTGAATCCAAGCTGGGAAGCTCCGGGCTGTCAGCCTGCTGTTTCTCCACTCGCTCATAATCAGAACAAACCTGGATAGACTTGCCAAACACACCTCCGCTGCTTCCAAACAGCCTCTGAAAATCTGCCTTTTGTTTATTCCCTCCCTCCTTCTCTTCCTCAGCCTCAGGTTCTTCATCATGGCTATCAGTCATATTGATGCTATCTGCCTCCATGCTCTCTTCACTGACCTCTGCACAACTGCACATGCCTGAATCTAGACTCTGGAGCCTAAATCGATCATTGTCGAGCCTCTCAGTTTTCTCGTAGTCTGAAATCACCTGCACTGGCTCACTGTTACTGCTGCCTTTGAGCAGCAACATTAACGTCTCCTTTTCTTTCTCTCTCGCTTCAGTGCTGTCTTTACTTTATTTAGTTTACATATTCACCCTTCATTTAATTACTATTATTATTAATGTCTGCATTCAAATCTTTTGCATAAGACTGCCCCATTCCTTTACTGCAGCATCATTCAGTTACTGTTTGTTTGGAGGTCTTTCTTCTGTTTTGTCTTCACTTAATAAGAAGCATGCGTTGTGTGACTATAAAAATGTATTCTTTTATTCTTTTGATTCTTTTATTATGAACGTACTGTGGTGGAGAACAAACCCTCCTCGCAAAAAAAAAAAAAAAAATCATGTCACAGTTAAAAAACTTGGTTGAACTTTATAATAATATTACACTTTTAAGCATTATTGAGGTAATAAGTGTTGATGGGATTTATTATCTTTAAGGCTAACACTTGATGATTAGCAAAACACATTTGTTTATCCTTTACTGCACACAATGTATTGAAGAATAGTCTGGATTCACTCTGATGCTGGCAGACAAACAGGGGGAAGATCCTTCACAGGAATGTGGATGGAGGTCGTGATAGCTACAAGACAACCCCCCTTCTTGAACTCTATAGGCCAGGCTGGAGAACGACAGGTGGTTGCCATGGTAATGGGAGTGTTGTCTGCGAAAGGGTCATCTCCATATAAGGCTGATATCCAGAGAGGTGCAGAAGAAGAAACGTGTACCAGTATCAGACCGAAGGCCACCCTCAACTGATTCCACCAATCATGTTAACATTCTGTTTCTGTGAGCCACCATAAAAGTCTATACTATTTGGGTGTGCTGCTCTTTGTTCGTTTGGCTCTCCTGAGCGAGCAAAGAGACTCGGCAGCCGTTTTTTAACTTGAGCCTTCAAATGCTTAATACATTTAAGACAACGCGCTTTGAGCATGTTTGTCTTCTCTCTCTCAAAAATGAACCTAACAGTGTGTACTCCATGTTTTATATATAATTACTCCTCCTCAGTATGTCATTTTTAAATACACATATATTTATACATCTGTTACTACTACACCATGTACAGCTATCACTGATAGTAACTCACTGTTAGTATGAATTAAACACTTGCTAATACCTTACTATAACATTAATAACTCTTAACATTGTGACATTATTATTAAGTGCTACCAAAAACCTAAGTTTTATATACATCTGTGATTTTAAATATCTGGGTACAGGTTGCAATGTGTGCTGTGAAAGTTTATAGCAATTACACATGGTAAGTTTTTTTCTTTCTTCTTGCTGGTGACTCCCATGATGCAGTGGGGCTCCAGTCACTCCAGGCTCCCTTGCGGTGCTGAAAAATAGACCGCACACGAACGCGTGCCTCATACCTCTCGCCTTGTATCAGCAAATGTGGCCTCAGCTCTGCCTTGCACTCCTGCCCACATTGAATGCTACGTGTTTTGCGCACAGTGGGATCCTGACACACAGAAAGCAGTGCGGGGTTGAGAATGAATCTTGCTTGGATTCACACAGCCACAGGGTTGTCATTTAAACGTGCACTTTTAAGATCACTTTACACTTAAACTTGTTCACATTGTGTCACAAAATCTAAACTTACACTCCATGACTGATCCTGCTTCTTCCACTGCACTTTACTTTTGTATGAACTGATCCTTTCATGTTCGGGGACTTGGGACAACCAGGAAACAGACGTGAAGTTGACTTTTGGCTCTGCAGGAGGATTCACCTTTACTGCAAGATCACACACACAGTTGTTTTAGGTCACCATGAATAGCTCGCACTGTAAATCACAAAGAGCCAGTATTTATACTCACTGTGACAGGATGGCTTGAAGGAAGTGATTAAACTCTGCTTCATTTGGTTGCAGCTCAGATTAAGGGACAACTCATGGAAAGACAGAAACTGGAAAAAAAAAAATGTTTAAATCAAATTTGAAGTTTGCCAAAGTCAAAGATTGGAGTCACAAATAGCCAATCAGACAACAGAGTTGGTATAAACAGAGAGCAGCTATAAAGAGAGAAGAGATTAAACTTCTTTTAGACAGATAACGAGTACATGTATCATCACTCAGTACAAGACTAAAGCGGTGCAGTTTGAACTGTTCAACAGGCAAAAGTCTAGTAAAATAGAAATTAAAATATCCGAAGCGGAAAATGAGAAATAATAGATTCACTTAAAAGGATTTTTCTGTACTTTCAGATTTCATTGCAATTTCACTTTCATGCCATTAAAAAGAAGCTGGACAAAAGCTATAATTACCTTAAACTTCACTTCAAATACAGAACATGGAAAAGTCAAAGAGAATGATTCTGGCAAAAAAAAATTTTTAAAGATCCCTGCTCACTGATATGTGCTTGATAAATTTGGCTAACCAGTTTTTAAAATTAATCCAACATCGATCACTACTTAGACTACAAACTGACATATAGGACATATGATTGTATATCTGGGGCTTGAAAACAATTAGATTTTTCCACACACTCACAGTGTATTCAATTTCAAAGATCAGGGAGCACTTCTTTAGAGCTGGTCTGGAGACATCAAAAGACTTTAGGTCACAGGAAGCGCTGTAAGAACTGAAAAAACAACAACAGTATTAATCTCTTTTTGGTGCACATGATGACAGGTGTGATTTATGTATTGTGAGTATTTATGTGTTGAGGATTTCTCTTTGTGACCGAGGTCCTTACAGGCGTCGAGATTTATACTGAGCATGTATGGTGCATGCAATGTCATCAGACACGTATCTGCTGTTCCACAAACATGTGATGTTTCTATTGTAGTCAGTGTAGCAAGTGAGATCTGTGAGAATTAAAACAGGAGAGATTAAATGAAAATGAGTAAATATGTCAAACAACAGATCTTAAAGTTTGTTATATGATATAAATCAAGAGGGGGGGGGGGGGGGGACTAACTCTTTGGAAGGCTGGGACACTCCTCACTTTTGCAGACCAGTAGCATTGGCAGCAGAATAAACAGTGAATAAACGGTTTTCTTGTTTCTCTCCATTCTTCAGGTAGTCCGTTTTCTTACTTAGAGACCGCTGGGATGGTTTGTTTCCAAAGTTTAGTCACTCAAAGAGTTGAAGGATTGTACTCACTTCAGTACTGAGTGCTTCTTGGTTCTCCTGCACAGATTCATGTGTACATGAATAAAGTAAAAAATCATGGGGCTGATAAGATACAGATGATTCTGATTCCTCACTCTTTTTTGTTCATGCAGTCACACACAAACACATATAGAAATACATTAATACGAATACAACAAGAATAAGTTCTATAAACAGGTGATAAAACAGAAAATCCTGCCTCATTTTGTCCTCTGTGCTTCCACTTACACAGACTAAGAAAACAGTCAACGACTTCAGTCAGTGACTTACCTGCTGGTTGACCTGCGACTTATCTGTTCTCAACTGCTGATTTGATTCCACCTGATATACTGTCAAAGAGCATCATGTGAAGTCTTTGCGTATCACCTGAACCACCCGAAAACCTCCCAAAAACAAACAACAACAAAAAAGGCAAAGTCATTTCCTCCAGGATGTACCATTTTTGAGCGTGCACAGCAACACACACAAAGACACAGCGTGTTATCTATATTAATGCATTAGCAGTAGCTGCATTTGCATGTGAACCACACTGACATTTAAACTGTATTAAAAACAGGATGAAAAATTAAATGTTTGTTCAGATTTAGTGTTTTGCCTCCATGTGCAAGCTAACCTAGAAAAGTTCAAGCAAGCTTTTCTTTTTATCGTGATCAGTACAAACATGTTAAGTTTAAATGGACCATGCTGAAGTTTTAGGTTCTCTATGTGTTTAGATTCGCATTCGCATTATATAATCACATGTGGTATTCGGACTTTATCTCAAACATAGGGCCAGAGTCTGGAAATGATCTTTGGCTAAAATCTATTTCACAATTTAAAGCAGTTGATTTTAACAATAACTTGTTCTACCAGATCTATAAATGCCGAACTGCAGTAACAATAATCTGTAGCAGATGGCTAAAACATGTCAAAGAAATTATAATTTGGGTGTTGTGATTTATATATAGCCAGTCATATTCAGATTCATGTTAAGTGGCTTAAATTAAACTTTCTCTTAGACTTTTTCAGGTAACACTGGTAATACTTTTCTACATCAGCTATTATGACTGCTGGAGTTCCACGGGGTTCTACCTTGTCTTTTTTTCTTTGTAAGGCAAGGCAAGGCAAGGCAAGGCAAGTTTATTTGTATAGCACAATTCAACAACAAGGTGATTCAAAGTGCTTTACAGAGACATTAGAAACAAGAACAAATAAATAACAAAATACATGCACCCTCTAGGTCAAATTATTTGCCAACATATCATCCTTTTTAATTGCAATGCATTAGGTTTACACTTTGAATTTTGGAAATCACCATTTCATATGGATTCATGTCGAAAAATAGATGGCCTGCATTTTACTATAGTTAAAGGAGGCTAAAACAGAGCTCTATTAATTATTAACTGAGAAGCTGAAGAATTACCTGGGAGTTTTATAACTCCTTAAAACACAGGCTAGGAACCTTGGGATAATCTCTGACACAGATCTGAAATTTTACAGACTAATAAGTGCAGCAGTCAACAGCACTTTGTTTTTGCTTAAACAAAGTGCTGTTTAAGAATTATTAAAAACACTGCATTACTACGATGTCAGAGCCCAGCCATATTTATCTAGATATAGGACAGATGAAACTGTTCACTTAGTCAAATATAAGTATATCTTAAAGACATAAAGGTCTGGATGAGTCAGGCAAACTGACAAACTTGACAATTTGTACAAAATACAGACTTTCTAAGTGGAGTATAATTACTTTGAATAATGACTTTTCTTCTTTTTTTGCCCCTCTGATATCGATGTTTTAGCCCCTCTCATCATTTTCACAGAGGCGTGAGGCACCTTCCATCTTCTGACTTTTGGACTTCCCCTAACTCAGTGGGCAAAAAAAAACAAAAAACAAAAAAAACACCTCTTCTCTTTCTTTCTTTGCAAAAAAATGACTACAATCTGCAAAAATACACACAAAATGTCAAACCACATCCGAACTCAAAAATGAGTGTGTTTCTATTAAGAAAAACAGCCATTTGGTATTCAGAATAATCAGTCCTTTTCACCTTTCATCTTTTTTTCTTCACATTAGTATTTGAGGAGGATCTGAGGCTACATCTTCTAACAGGTGGTAAAGAAGCTCGTCTCAGCCCTGTTAACATTTTATACTAAACATACCGAACTGAACATTAATGCTAATATTTCTTGATAACCACATTGATTGCTGACTGAAACCCATATTTGATAACTGTTTACTGGAACTCTTCATATGAAAGATCCTAATGCAAATGGAGGAGCCCAACATTAAGATGACCAAGCAAAATTAAACTACCACATAGATATATTTACTGATTTTGTCATGCTAATTACTTGGCATGAAAGACCACTGACAACTAAATTACTGGAGGAGGAGTGGCCTTGTATGTGGACAAATCCTTGAAATTTAATGTGGTGGATTGGATGACGATGGTGATTGATAATGTACTGGAAACCATTACAGTTGAAATTTGTAAAGAAAAGTAAAAATGTAATAATTAGCTGTATATACAGAGCTCCAGGTAGTAGTATTGAGACATTTAAAGACTGGATAGAAGAAACATTTATTGAAATAGGTCACAAAAAAAGTTCTCATTTGTGGAGATCTCAATATTGCTTTGCTAAACCCAAATAAACATAAAACCACTGACAAATTTATAAACGCAATGTACTTTATAAACCTATTCTCTAAAATTACTAGACCCGCCAGGATCACATCACATTGTGCAACTCTCATAGACAACATTTTTACAAATGAAGTTGAAAATAAGTGGACTCCTGATTAACGACATAAGTGACCATCTTCCTTTTTTTTTTACAATATATGATAGGAATTACAAGATCAATAAAATGGACAATTTAAAAAAAATGTACAGGCGAGTAAGAACAGAAGAAAGCATGAATGCATTTAAAAAAGATTTACTGAAACAGAACTGGGGTGAAGTATATCAGGAACATGACGTTAATAGTGCGTATAATGAATTCCTTAGAATATTTACATTAGTGTACAATACCAGCGTCCAATAAAGCAATATAGTAAGAAACATAAATATATGAACTGTCCATGGATAACAAAAGGTCTGCAAAATGCATGTATAAAGAAAAATGCTCTATACAGACATTTCTTAAGAAAGAGAACTAAAAATGCAGAAATCAGATACAAAAGATATAAAAATAGGTTAACTAATATACTTAGATAAAGATAAAGGATATGAAGGATATGAAGCAATTAGATATAACTAGAAATAATATTAAAAGATTATGGGAAATACTGAACAGTGTTATAAAACGTGAGGCTGGACAAAAGAACCATGAAGAATACAATATGGATGTTGTGGCAAATAGTCTCAATGAATTCTTTGTAACTGCTGGACCAAATTTAGCAAGAACAATCACTGATCCTGGGGAAGCACAGAAAAACCGATACACTGATAGACAGTCTCTTTACTACCTCAATTCTCAAAAATTCTTGAAAAACTGTTTAACAACCAACTGGAAAAATTTATAGATAAACATAAACTCCTCACCGAGAGTCAGTACGGATTCAGATCAACATCATTGGCACTATTAGATTCAATAGAATACATCACAAAGTCCATAGACAAAAAGCAATATGTGGCTGGGTTATTCATAGACTTGACAAAGGCATTTGACACTATAGGTCATGATATATTTTAATAAGAAAACTGGAACGTTATGGTGTCAGAGGGGTAGTTTTAGATTGGGTCCGGAGTTTTTAATAGACAGGAAGCAGTTTGTGAAATTAAATGGTGGTTGCTCCTTATGTATGGACATTGCTTGTGGTGTACCCCAAGGATCAGCTTTGGGTCCAAAATTCTTCAACTTATACATTAACGACATCTGTAAAGTGTCCAAAGTATTAAAAATGGTTCTCTTTGCTGACGATACAAACTTTTTTTGCTCTGGTGATGATCTGCAGAATTTATTGGGGGATATGACTAATGAAATAAGTAAAGTGAAGTTCTGGCTTGATAAAAATAAATTATCATTAAATTTGAATAAATCTAAACTTATGTTATTTGGAAATAGTAGTTTAAATACAAATGCAAAGATTCAAATAAATGGTGTTGATATTGAAAGAGTCAGTGAAAATAAATTTGTGGGGGTAATGACAGATGAAAAACTTAACTGGAGAGCTCACGTAAGATATATTCATTCTAAAGTATAACGAAGCATTGCAGTACTAAACAAGGCAAAGCAGGTATTCAACAGAACATCATTTCACATTCTATACTGTTCACTGGTTTCACCATACTTAAGCTATTGTGCAGAGGTCTGGGGCAACAACTTTAAAATGACATTACATTCACTTTTTACTCTTAAAAAAAAAGAAAAAAAAAGCAGTTCGAATCAGCCACAATGCAGGTTATAGGGAACCCACAAACTCACTAGTTTTGCAGTCTGAACCAGGTAATATTCAGAAAATGTTTTTTGTTTTTCTGTAAAGAAGGAAGTTATAATTTAAGGGTTTTTTTGTAACTTTAAAACAGGAAAGGTACGTACCACAAGCAAAAGCTCTTGTGCTTCTGTGCATGGAGTGAAACTGTGGAACAGTTTGAATATGGAATTAAAGCAACGTCCAAACATAAAACAGTTCAGAAAGAGCCATAAAAATATGATCTTCTCAAACTATAAAGAAAGGTTAAATACTGAAATTAAGTGAATG